GGAAACCTGGTTCCTGCTGAGTCCTAGGCGTCCGTCTGTGTTTCTGACTTACATTTGCTGCAAAAGACAGATTTGGATGCAGTGGAGCCATAAGCAGCTCTCCAAGCTATCAACGAGATGTTACAGAGCTCCAGACTTTCTGGACTTCAGGCCACCTTGACCCCAGGGCCACTCACAGCAACACAAGTCGAGTTCTGCCATGTGTCAGACCCAGAACTGTGTTCCAGTTTCGTTCCTCATCTTTCTCCCACCCTACATCACAGAGTCTCTATTTTGAGGGGCCTGGGGAACAAAAGGGTGAGGTGAGGCATCCCACACTACTTATTAATAACAAGCTCTTAAAAACCAAAACTCTGCTGGGGAATTGAGCAACTCACATTTGTGCTCTTTTAACTGGGGACGTAACCCACAGGCAGGACAGGCATCGGTGAGTGGTCTCCTTGTTCTAGGAAGCAGGTGACTCATGGAACAGTACATGCTTCTTAGTGACATTGCAGAGTGGCAGGGCTAGAGAGTCTCAGGGGGTTCCTGGAACCCTGGCAGGGAGGGGAAGAGTTGGGAGACAGTCCAGAAGCACAGGCCTATTGAGCCCTTTATCACATCATGCCAGGTCAGCGATGGCTGGGAGTCAGCAGATGTCAGGACAGCAGTTCTGGGAGACATTGACTGCTCCTCTGCCTCCTGGGGGACCCTGGAGCCTCTCTGTCTACTTAGTGAATGACAGAGATAAGAGAGCCAAGAGCTCCGGCAGAGCAAAGCAGGGGTGAGGGACTGAAACATAAAGAACACAGGCTACCAGGAGCCCTTCCAGCTGCCCAAAGCCAGCCAGGGTTATTCAGTCCCCAGCCACTGCCCTACTCTGGTGCTGCTGGGCACAGGACATCGCTGGAGGATACTGAACATCCTGGGGAGGCCAGAGGCCAGGAAACTGGTGTTTGGGGGGACTTGAACATGACCTGACACCCCTCTGTACAGTCAGCCCCTGCGGTCAGAATGATAAGGAGAGGCAGCCCTGCAGGCACTGAGAAAGTGCCTCTCACACAGGAGAAAGCAGGACAGGGCACTGCACGGACCTGAAAATGGGAATGGGGTCACACAAGGTTATCAGCATGGGCAGCACCTTGGAGACACAGGTGAGGAAGGACCAGGGGCAGGAACATGGCCAGCCACATAGAAGCTGGGTACCAGCATGGAGAGTCACCTTCTGACTCTCCTCCTCCCGTCATCAAGTGACTACTGATCACACAACAGCTGCCACTGATGGAGCGTTTGCCATGCACAAGGGTTACCTTAGCACTTGTGTCATCATCCCTGAGTGGTCACTCTATCCTCTGGAGAAGATTCTGGAACCCACCATTCCACAGCTCTCTCCTGTCCATGCTCTCCCTCAGCCCTCAGGCCAACAATGGTGGTGGAATCAGGAGCTGAGGCCCAGAGGCCCCGTGTTGGTCACCATGCTCCAGGACAGTGGAAGGCCCATGTGGGTGAGCACGTGTGAGTCCAGGGCCTGAGCCAAGCTGAGGTTCAGGATACCCCTCCCCCCAACACCGCAAGCAGTCAGTGATGCTTCGTAGTAACCCCATTGTAGAGCACGTGGTCACTTCCTGGATGGCCCCACAGCAGTCAAACCACATCACTCCTGGCCCTGACCTTGGCACCATGGGCTGGACCTGCCGGAGGCCTGGGAGAGGGGAGCAGTCTCACCCGGAAGAGGAGCTCCTCTCGTTCCCAAGACACAGAATGGGTCCAACCCCCCATGGTCAGGAGACACGCACGCGTTGAATAGGAAAGGAACCAAGCACTTGACAGTATACACGTCTCTGAGAAGGTAGACAGCTCAGTCTGCCCTGTGTCCACCACGCCTTGGTCAGCCCTATCTGCCTCGCTCCCCACGGTCCCCCAGCCGTGGATGCTACTCTTGGCCCTGCTGCTGGGTGGCTGGATGCCTCTGAACCCAACCTTAAGACTCTGCATTCTTCTGATTCTTCGACAGGAAAATGGAGACAATGATGCCCCATTCCATCGAAGATGAAGGAGTCATGGAGAAGGGCCTGGCGAGGCTCAGCCCGAGGGCTCTTTGGAAGACCAGCACCTGCAGGAAGGAGCAGCTCGCCCTAGGGTCCAGGGCCATGATTCTCTGATACAGTCAGCCTTGGTTACTCTCCTGACCCCTCACCCTCCCCAAAGGTAAGGGTGGGCCATCCTACCCTCTGCAGGGACCCTCGTGTCACATTGGTGTGATAACTTGCTGGAGCCGTGGTCTGGAAAGAAACATGTCCCCACAAAGAGAGTGGTGGATCCCTGTAGGAGAGGGGACAGACACTGGCCCAGGAGGCATGAGCCCCATGTGCCCTGGAGAAGTCATTTCACTTCTCAGAGCCCAGAGAAATGTGGCCCTTGTCTTCTCCTAGTGAGAAAGAGAGACAACTTGACTACTGCCAGGCCTATATGAAGCCTATTTCACAAGGGCCACATGGGGCGGCAGGGACAGGTTGTTCTCCCCGGAACAGACATGACCACACTCACTGGGACAAGGGCAAAAGCTCCACCTTCCGTCCATGAGATTCAGGCAGGTCAGTGTGGACCTCGACCTGCACAGAGGGCTGGTGCCCAAGTCTAACAAGGAAGTGTGGGCCCCAGGAAAGAGGTGAAACTCAAAGCAGAAAAACAATGCGAGCCACATATGGAATTTTACATTTTCTGATAACCATATTTAAAGATGTAAAAAGAAATGAGCAAGCTGGGTGTGCTGGCACACACCTATAATCCCAGCACTTAGGAGGCTGAGGCAGGAGGATCTTGAGTTCAAGGCCAGCCTAGGCTACATAGTGAGACCCAGCCCCAAAAAAAGAAAAAGAAAAACTGATCTTAAAATACTATATTTTATTTAATCCTAAATATCCCAAACTTTATCTCAACCTATAATGGATATAAAACATTACCCATGAAATATTGGTCCTTCTTTTTTGGTACGAAGTTTTCAAGATCTGGTGTATCTCACACTTACAGCACATTTCTGAAAGCCCTGGCCCCATACCAAGTGCTCAGGGACTGCATGGGGCCACAGCTGCTCTTTGGGACAATTCAGGTGCAGAGGGCAGGGCAGGTACCTGCCCTGTGGCCAGGAGGAGCTGAGAACTCAGGGCAGGGACAGGTGTCAGAAGCAGCCACAGCTCCTTCACTACCAGGGCTCATCTTTTTTATTTTATTTTTTATAGTGATACGTGGTGCTTGCTAGGCAGGTGCTCCACCATTTCAGCCACACCGCCAGCCCTGTGGACTGACTATTCTCAATTGCCGTTAGGAGCGGTATTGCTTTCCTTTAGTTCATATTGATGCTTGTTGTGGATTTAATTATGCACCCCGCCCTAAAATCCATGTGGAAGTCCTAACTCCCACTACTGCAAACGTGACTACATTTGGAGGTGGGGCCTTTTGCAGGGTAACTAAATCCAGATGGTGTGATTAAGATGGGCCCTAACCCAACCTAACTGGACCCTGACCAATGTTCTTACAAGACACCTGGACACACACACAGGGGTGGCCATTGGAAGGCAGAGTGAGAAGAGGACCACCTGCAAGCCACGGAGAGAGGACTCAGGGGGAAGCAGCTCTGCCTACACCTTAACCATGACCTCCAGCCTCCAGGACTGAGACGGTATGATTCTGTGTTCAAACCCCCCACCTCCGCCCCGGGGCTTCGTCACGGGCCCTGGTAAACTACTCACTGCTCTCGGTATCCATGGCTTATCTCAGGACCCAGGACTGCTGACTGTTCTGCCTGGGTTAGGCTGGGACTCTGAGTCACTGGTTTCCTCAAAGAGTCCAGGACTTGGGGATCTGGGAAGCTCCCTGGGGGACTGCTTATGAGTATGGATCAGAACACAGAAATCACTGGAAAACCCCAAATATCCCAGCCCACAGACAGCACCACTGTCCCCAGATGTGCGTGTCCCCCCTGACTGCAAAGACCCGAACGCACCCAGCTATATTTTGTCTCTGTGAGGATGGCTCCCTCTTGCATAGAAACACTTTTGTTTTGGTGGCACTGGGCTTTGAACTCAGGGCCTCACACTTGCTAGGCAGGTGTTCTACCACTTGAGTCAAAAGCACTTTTATTTTTTTTTTAATGCGTTACTATCACCTATTGAATTAGCATTAAAGCTGCCACACCTTGTTCTGCCTCCTCTTGTAAGACCCAGCAATAACCCAGCACTTGCAGACTGCACACATCACATAAGCATCACCCCAGTAAGCCAAAGGCACAGTGACCTTCCTAAACACCCAAACCCCTGTGTGAGGCAAGCCAGGAGCAACCTGTCGGCCTGAATTGCCCCTTCCCAGGGGACATCAGCCTTAAAAACTCATTTAACATAGAAAACACCTAAGGTTTCTCTGTCTGCAGTCGGCAATTTACCACGTGCAGTCTAACGAATGAGGTGGACTGATCAGTCAGGCGTGGTTTTGAATTTCTTCCACCAGGAAACAAAGTAAAACAAGAGCTGAACCTCAACTGGACCCACTCAGGGACTCAGCACTTACTTTTCGGGGTCATGATCACTTGATAACACAGTAGGCCCCTCTGAGGATGCAGCTCTGCCACCACTGACACGCATCACCTCCACTACCTGCAGGGGCTGCCATGGAGACTGAGACCCCCTCCCTTCTTCCCCAGGTTCAGCAGCCCCCCCAACCATCCTCACAGGCTTCCTAAACACCGCAGACACTAAAGGTGAGGCAGGCTACAAGTAGGAAAAGTTGGGGGGCTCATGGGTTGCTTAGGGATGGCCCAGACCACCCTCACCTGTCTGGGAACCGCCCATGCCCCTCCACTCGTTCATTATTGGCTGGGAATCTCCTCCTTCTCCCCTTCCCATAGGTTACCCCAGGTTTTAAAAGCACCTGAAAGGGAGAGACATGCTCTCTCAGCTTCTGGCTTCCACCTGGGCCCCACCACGCCTCCCTTTGTATTTCTGTTCCCTAACTTTTAATAAACTCCCTTTGCACCTACGTGTCCTGCCATGGATTCTTTCTGGAGAAGAATCTGGAATTCTGATCATTGACTGTACCCGCACCATTAACAAAGGGAGACAAACTAGCATTTTTAAAACTGCTTTATTAAAGGCTAGTAGTATAAAACATGACCAAGTTACAAGTTGTCAGTAAGAATTTAACATTTTTGAAAATGTGTATAAAGACAGGGAGGAAGGCTGCTCCTAACATGTGCATGAGGGGTGCACCTGGCAAGGCAGGAGCCACATGAAGCAGACTGATGTCCTGGGGAGCCTTGTAGGATGCGGTGACCGAGGGCAAAACGCCTAGTCCTGGAGCTGAATCCCCAGTGCAGAGACTGGAGATGAGTGACTCCAGAGTCACACACAGGCTTTGGCTGAAGAGTATGCATTTTTAAAACATAAATACATACTCCTTGTTTTAGAAACTCCATCAGGATGCAGGCGCAAAGCCTCATCTCCCAGTACGCTGTCACAGGGGAAGGAAAAGAAGCTACCTCTGCATGGACTTTGCCCAGGAGCGGCTGAGCCAGTCAGGCAGGTGGAGCCTGCGCTTCTTCCAAAAGCAGGACAGAGCGGCAGGACCAGAGGACTCCCCTCCCCCCAGGACTCCCCATCTGTGCCGTTTCCATCCTTAAAAGAGAGCCCTGTGGGAGCAGCTGAACCCTGGGCGCCAGCTCAGAGGCTCTCCTCGGCCTCCCACCTCTCAGCTTCAAGGACAACCCAAGGGGAACATGGAGATTTAAGGGAAAGCAGGAGTGGCCAGGTCACCCTGACCAAGTGTCCTGGGATGAGCCCTCTCCTCCCTGCCACACCAACACTAAAAGGACACAGACTCACAGTGAGGAAAACGTGGTACCAGGAGCTCTGCACCAGAGCCCAAGTGCAGGTGGAGGCCACCTGAGCTCCCATGTGACAGCACCAGCCCTGGGGACCAGGCGCCTGTGAGGCTGAGCTGCCAGGATCTCCCAGCTCCTTTCCCTCACACCACTGTGCCAGAAACCCTTTCACCCTAGCAAACATCAACTCTACTTAAATGGCAGAGAAAGGACCTCCATTTGCCAAGTTGCAGCCAGTCACTGGAGGAGGAAGGTAAACCTGAGCCCCAGGGACAAAATGAGGGTTAGGGATGGGATCAATTGGCAGGAATGAAACCACGCTTGGCAAAGCCACAGCTTTGGCAGAGATTTTCCTACGGTAGGGTGGGAGAGGTGCCGTGTGCTTTACCTTAGAGGCAGACAGAATATTCTGGGAACTGTTTTAGGAAGTCCTGTGACACAGGCATTAAAATAAGAAGACAACTTTTGGTACAAGAGCGGTGCTCACAGGGATTAAGGCTTCAGGTGAGGAGAATGCAGTGAAGGCTATTTGCACACGGCACTGCACAGGGCTCACAGGTCTGGCCTTGGTGCCTCCTGCAGGTGCGTGTAGTTTGGGGGCCACTGGGCACAGGTGAGGGCAGCAGCTTCCCAAGGGAGGTCGCAGTCCTTTTAACAACCTAGGAGTCTACACCGGCTCCCAGGGAAACCACTGCTGTGAACCACAGGAACCTCTAGGGGGCGCTGCTGTGTGGTCAGGGCTGGGGCAGGGACCCTAATGGTGTGGCCTGATTTTGGGATAAAGGATAGCCACCGCCCTGCAGCCTGTCTCATGCTCACCCCACTCTTGTAGTGCCACCTGCAGGACCAGCAGGGGACAATAAGTAACAAGAGCTTCTGAAGGGAAACCTACAAAACAAAAGGTGTTCCCCAGTGGCTGCTAAATCTAGATACAAAATAACGAGAAGTTGATACAAAACTTCCAAACATGCAACTGTCTTCAAACAATGACCAGCTCAAAGATGAAGTCCACCCAGTGCGACTCTGCTTCCTGGAAGTGACATGAAGGAGGAACGTCAGACACACACGAGGCTGTCAGGCTGGTCCCTACTCAGGGAGCCTCATACATGGAAAAGGACTGGTGAGGGGCAAAGGGTAAGTGGAGTCAGTTTACAGCTTGTGAATGGTGAGAAAACTTCCTTTGAGAGGAAAACTGTGTAGAGCTGGGAACAGAAGTTTCATTTACAAGATTTTTCTTTTGAGGGGGGGGTGGTACTGGGGTTTGAACTCAGGGCCTTGAGTTTGCTAGGCAGGCGCTCTACCACTTGAGCCATGCCTCCAGCCCTCATTTACAATTTTTATTGAATTCTTAAAGGTCCTTAAAAATTCCAAATGTAAAACTTCTGTTATCAAATCACTGAAAATAGCATATATATTTTGTCTTACCAAAACTCTGGCAGAATTTACCAGCTTCCAAAGGATTAAGAAAGGAGTAGTGAAAACAGAAAATACACAGACAGTGTAGCCGTCTTGTCCTCTGCACACCGCTGTGGAAAATGTTCTGGGGGTCTTGGCTGTTTCCTTTTGTCCGGGACGGTTTACCAATTGTCCAGAAAATCAAATCCCGTCTTCAAGACAACGCTACTGGAGCTGACCTGCAGAGGGACAAAGGCGCTCAAGTAAGACACAAGCCTCTTTCTGAACCATGCACAATCTAAAAACAGCATCTCATTTAAAATGACCCAAATGCAATGTCTGTTCCTGTCCCAGGGGTCCCCTGACCTCAATTTACCTTGGCACCGGAGGCCAGAAAATTACACAAATTCGAGACAAGCTGCACTCGGCCATGTCCAGCTCCCTCCGGCCCCAGGCACTCAGAGCAAAGGAGAATAACTCCACTCCCAGGAGTCTTCCTACTAATGACATCACAGGAGGCGAAAGCACAATGGACACGGCAAACCAAGAGGGAACTTTGCAGCTCATTTCTCTCGGAGCACGTGAAAGGCTCTGGAGAGCTTTCCAAACCCAGGAACATTCTGGTTCGAGTGGGATTGACTTTGAGGCCCCTGGGTGAGTGCGGAGCTGCATCTTCCCGACAGCGCCCACAGTGTCACACAGCCTGGGGTTTAAGACACCAGTCTTGCACCTTTCCTCCAGCCAAAGGCAAGAAGCCACCTTCCTCAGTCTTCCCCAAGCGACCTTGACCTCTACTCTCCATATGGGAGGTGAGGCAGCCAGGATACAGCTGCTTGTCCTCCTCCACACCTCTCTCAGGCCAGATGTGGCACACCTGAGACCAACAGAAGAAGGACCCAGGACAGGACAGCCAGGAATTAGCCCCTTTTCCTTTGCGACTTCCTTCTGTCTCTTAAATGTGGGCATCACACTCTGCACTTTACTCCTCACACCCGAAATCCACTCTGCAAGGAATTTCATTGGCTCTCTTCCAACGAGCTCCCCCGACTCCTGCTCCTCTGTACAAGTGAGAACCTGGAGCACGACCCTGGAGTCGTGTGCTGGGTAGATGCCTCCCTCCGAACCACAACAAAACCATAATGAGATCCCAGTGTTGTCAAGAAGTGGAGAAATTGGAATCTGTGTGCACTGCTGGTGGGAAGAGAAGATGGTACAGTTCCCCAAAAAAGTAAACGTAGAATGACTTTGGGCTCCCTCACCAATTCCACATCTGGGCACACCCCAAGGAACTGGAAGCAATGTCTCAAAGAGATATCTGCACAACCACGGTCACAGTAGCCAAAGGGCAGAAGACGTTATCAGTAGATGAACAAAATGTGGTTTATCTATACCATGGAATATTATTCAGCCTTAAAAAGGGAATTTTGACATATGCTACAACATGGGTAAACCATGAAGACACTGGGTACATGTAATGAGTTAGCCACCAAAGGACAGATGCTGTGTGATGCCACTGCTATGAAGTCCCTAGAGTGGTCAAATCACAGAGGCAGAGAACAGAATGGTGGCTGCCAGAGGCTGGGGGAGCAGTGGAGAGCCCGTGCAGTGTCCTGCTGTGGTCCTCTTGTAACAGCCCTGCCTCCCTCTGAAGACAATGGCTGCCCTGTGTTTGGTTCTGTGTCACCCTCTAACACTAGTACCGTTTAAAGCCACAGACAAATGTTCTGTCTTCTCTGCTGGCTCGACTTCCTGGTGAGGATGGTGGCCACTGCTCCCACTGGCCACTCTCATAATCACCAACTGTCCTTCTCTCCATAGCCTGACATCTGTCCCCAGAACACTGGACCTTCCCTCTGCCTCACCTCTGTCCCTAGGAAGAACTCCTCTCTGGACACCTGGGAACAAGTAGTGGCCAATCCCTCCCTCAAGAGAGAGTCCCCTGCAGTTACACCGGGTGGCACTCTGGGGTCCCACCTGCCTTTCCACACCCCTTGGGACACCTGCAGGTCTCTTCCTCCCAGGATCCTCAGGCAGAGCAGGTCCCCACCTCCCCACACTGACCGCCTTCCCCATGAACCCCTCTGCCACCTCTGCTCACCCGCCCACACACCGGGGAAGGCAGTGGCCACAACTCCAGCCACCGCTCAGGGCGCTGCTTTGGCAGAGCTGCTAACAGCCCTGGAAGCTCTGAGGAGGAGACAGGGAGAAGAACGAGAGGGAGGAGCACCTGGATGCCCACGGTGCCCCGTGCTGTGGGGTCCCCACTCGATTGCCCCTGGAAGAAGCCCCCTGCCTGAAGTGGTCTTTATGTGGGCCACCCACCTGTGCTAGTGTGGGCTCCGAGAACAGACTGTCATCCTCGCCATCCTGCCTGGCGTCGAGAGACGGCGGTTTCCCCAGGGACTCAGAGGGGGTGACCTCGGGCAGTGTGCCGGTGGGAGCCTGGATGGGCTGGGGTCTCTCGGGCTCCACGCTCACACTGGGAAGGACTCGCTGCTCCTGACGGACGATCTTGGCCTCCCTGTCCTTCGGGGCAGGTTCCTGCCGGCACCCTGCAGGCAAGACCTTCTCCCCTTTCTCCATGGACTTGATCTGGCTGGGTGTCAGCGACTGGAACTCCGCCTTGGGCCCCTCCCGGGACCGCTCCGCATTGATCTTCCAGAAGGGTGCTTCCTCTTCCTTCCGGGTGGGACCCAAGGCATCCAGGCTGGAGGGCATGCTGCCCTGCGAGGATCTGATAACCTGCGCCCCGTGGGAAGACTTGGCAGGTGGCCTCGGCTCGCTGGCGGCGGTACCGGTGCTCGGCTCCTGGATGGACATGGAGGAGATGCTGAACTCCATCTGACTCTAGGGCGGGACGGGACAGGGAGAGAAAAGAAAGAGCAACCTCAGAACCCACTGGACGGGCAGGCCTGCTCACACACGCCCTGCCAAACAACCAGCTGTTGCCCACTTGCTGGAACTTTCTGTCTGTCCTGAGTGGCCATTTCCAGAACTACCCTTACATACCTGAAACATGGGGAGCCGGGAGGCCAAGACCTCATCCCACACGGCGACCCCCAAATCTCAGCAATGAGACTTTTTGGATAGGCTCTCGAGTTGCATATACCCGCCACCAATGGCTTATTGGTTAAGATGGGGGTCTCCCCAACTCCCCTCCTCCCCCAGCTGGTCTTGAACCATGATCCTCCCTATGTCAGCCTCCCAGATAGCTGGGATCACAGGTGTGCAATGCCACACCTGGCCACTACCACTATTTTCGATGGCTGCACACATTTCGTTCAGTAACTACCAGCTTAACCATTTCTAAATGTCAGACACTTTGCTCCTCCTAATCCTTGTCACCCTGCGTAGGTTGCTAGGAACACCTTTGTGCACACGGCTCCTTCTCTCCATGCTGGATTAATTTCTTCAGAGAAACTTGCAGAAGTGAAGTCCAAAGCACAGAGGTCTCATCCTCTCTGTGCAAGTTCGGGTGCCCGCTGTCACACTGCTTCCCAGGGCTGCCCAGGGTCCCCCATCCCAGCTACACATCCCACTCACAGTCTTGGTCACCGAGTGCAACTCACTGTGCTAACTCAGAAAACTCAAGTCTGTATGACCTCAGTGCAAAGCAGTAAATGTCTGGCTGGTTCTTTACATCCCAGACTGTCCCCCACGGGCAGGGATGTGTTGTGATGGCAAAGATGAGCACAGGGGTTCTGGTGACCAGCAGACCCTGGACAGAGAGCTGTGTTCAAGGCCAGCAGTTGCTCAGAAGATGGGCCAAAGAACCCACATCCAAATCTGCAGCCCAGACTGCCTGGAAGCTCCCTGTTCTAGGAAGTAAAAGCCAAGAAACAGCCATCCAAGCTTTGGCTATGCCACAACTATAGCTAAGGACAAACGGAGGTGACTGAGTGAGGCCAATGCATCAGGTACAGCTTTATTTTTCATTATTTTCATTCTACAAATGAGAAAGTGGAGCTCTGGCTGGGCATAATGGTACACACCTGTAATACCAGCACAGGAGGCAGGGGCACAAAGATTGGAAGTTTGAGGATAGCCTGGGCTACATAGCAAGTTCAAACACCCATACCCCCACCAAAAAGAAAAACAAGAAGAGAAGGAAAGGGAGGCCTGAGTGATTCACTGCCCTAGGTCACTAGACCATTAGGACATTGTGCAGCTGGGACTCCAAGGCCTGATTGCAAGGACAAGAAGCTAGTGGTGGCCTTGCGTGTCACAGGGCATCACAGGGCCTCCATTCTGGACACTGCACAGTTCCAGATTCCACGGCAGAAGATGGGGACACCATGGGCACAGACATTATAGTGTCTTTGAATAAGCAAATTGCTAAAAATAGCTTGGAAGTGGCCCATGGCTCAAAGACAGGGCTGACTTTGATCTGGAAACTGCAGTGTCAGGAAGGCACTTAAAACCACAGGCTCGTCTCACCCTGTTTTAGGATCCTCCATTTTTCTAGTGGGATCTTTGTCTAGAAACCTGAGAAGGGCAAGGCTGGACATCTGTGACATGGAGGCAGTGACAGGCTGGCCAGGGTGCTGGGAGGGAAGCCAGGCACGGGGTCCCGAGGCCATGCCATAGCTACAGTGTCAGGCCCCTCCTATCACTTGCGGGTGACAGGTTGGAGGGGAAGGGTGTCCTCTGGTTGCCAGGAGCAGCTACTTGGCTCAGGGGCTTCAAAGGCAAGTACAGGAAAACAGGAACTTGAAGAAAAGGATTCTAGAGTGTGTTTATGTTGTCTCTAACTTCTTCCAGTCGCCATCCTGGTGAGGGGTCTCCTGCCCCCTGCTGCCCTCAGGACTCCAAACACAACCTGGTGGTTAGGAGGTGAGGGGGATGTATCTTTTGTTCAGTCCTGAGACTCCCAGGATCTGCTGCTTGGCCACACAGACACCCCTTTCCCAAGCCAGGGTACATCTGGCCGCCATCTCTTCCTGGCTGAGGCCATCTGTGTGCCTCCCAAGCCTCCAAGAAGCCAAAGGTGCCTCCTCCTTATAAGTCCAGAACCAAACCTCCACAGCAGGATATCATCCTGGACCCCTTGCCCCATCCCTCACACCCTATCGTGAGGGTCACCAAACCCCACAATTCTCTCCAAAACTGGGGGCCATCGACCTACCTCCCACCCCCACTCTCCTCCCAAGTTGACTGGGCTATACGACTAGAGCTGGCCCCTCTCCCCCACCCGCCCTGGACAAGGGATAAGGTCAAAGGGATCCTGTGCCACCCTGACGCAGACCTGGCCTCTGCTGAGTACTGAGGTGGACCCATCCACCTCTCCCTAACCCCACTGGTCTGGACAGTACCACCCCAAGCACCACTGCCAGGGGTCTCTGCAGCATTCATCCACACAGGTCCTGGAGGCAGGACAGCCTTCCTCCTGCTCACCTTTCCAGCCTCACAGGGCCCAGGGCGCTTGCCTGTCAAAACTGCCCATGCAAGTGGCTGCCATTCCAGGCATAGACACTGCCCACAGGTCCCAGCTAGGGGCAACAGGCACCACACACGGACCCAAGTAGGACAAGAAGGGCCATTGCCAAGAGTGGAACCACCAGGCACACGGGTGGCTGCCACCTCAACTCATGAGTTAGCTGACCTCAGACCATGCACAGGTGGGAGAAAGGCCAGAGACTTGTTTGCTGTGCACACTGTGCACCAGGTGCCAGGTACAGGAAACACCTTTAGACACTCCCATGCTGTCCCAGCAATGCAATGAGGGGAGCAGGGCCACCATTCCCTGTATTAAAGAAGGTCCACAAGGCAGCCCCAGTGCCTGTTCTGGAAGTTGCACTGTGCCACCTCCACTGGGCCCAAGCAGGTGGGGCTGGAGAGTGGAGCAGGAGGAGGAAGACGATGGGCGTAACAGGCAACTTTTTCTCATCTCTGGAAGACAGCCGGTCTTTCTCAGGTGTGGACAGAGCTGGGCTCATAGAAAAGGAGAACATGTTGACCCTGTCCCAGCACTCAGGCAGCACGGAGCCAGCACCAGAGGGTTGCATGGAGGACGGCAGGAGCCAAGGAGCCGACAGACATGTTGCTGCTGTTGACTGCAGGAATAAAGTCGGGGCTGGGGACTTCATTCAGCATCTTCCGTCACCCTCGAGATGGGGAGACGGGAGAGGACGCCTCTCTGTTCACAGAAGCACCCCACATCCTCCGTGCCCCATGTGCTCCTGAGTCCCAAGGGTCTGCCAGGAGGATCTGGTCAGCAGGCCGGGCTTGGTCCCCGTCAGCCCATGTGGGGAATCGGATCTCAGCTGGCCACATCCGTTCTAAAAACGGCAAGACCACAACAGAGCCTAGGATCTATTTTTACGCCCCACTCACTGGAGAGGAATGTGTAACATTCAGCAAAGGGGGAGCCAAGCTGCCCAAACTAACTGTTTGGTTTGGCAGCCACCGGCAAGTCAAATTGTTGAGACAAAGGATACAGAAGCACCGTCAAAAATATCACGGTTTACTGGGGCAAATCCTAATAAATTTGCCAAACATTTAACATAGGTTCTTCACTGGCAAAGGAAGAAGGGAGCAAGAAGAGAGGGGGTAGGAGGAACCTTCAGAATCACAAGATCAGGAAAGTGGCAGCTCGTGGGGATGAACCAGCATCTCAAGGTGGCTGAGGACACAGGAGGAGCTATGAAGACATGGTGCCTGAGGTCCACTCACCCGCATCCCAAGGCTCTGTGCAGACCGGGAGCTAAATCACACACACCTGCTGGCTTACCAGGCAAAACTCAGGAGGGAGACCTGGCTGAAAAGAATAGGCAGCAGACACACAGATGCGCCCATCAGTCGAGCACCAGGAGTCCATGCAAAATCCTGAGAACCGGCAGGTAGCGGCAGGCAGGTGCGCCAGGCCAGGCCTTCACGGCCAAGGGATCCACAGACGCATAATTCAGTGCCTCCTTCCTGACCTCTTCTCTATGGTAACATGGAAGAGGGGTAGTACCAATGGCCGGGCTGTGGCAGCTGGGAGCACAGCCCTGGGTGGCACTGCCTTGATCACTCTTCTCTCTTCCAGCCTCAGTTTTGTCCTCTGCGAAAGGGGCTGTTGTGCGAATCAGAGGCAGAGCACCCATGTGCTCAGCACAGACCTGGCCCAGGGTCACTCAGCCCCAGCTGTGATCAGGAAAGGGATCTATGCAGGGCCTGGAGGGCAGGGGACCTCCACAGAGGGATGGGGGACAGGGGATGAGCAAAGGCAGGTTTGTTAGGAAGAACGTGTAGTAGGAAGGTAGGGTGGGGCTGAGGTCAGCAGGGAGACCTGTGGAAGGACCACTGGGCTAAGAGGCAGAGCTGGGCCCCTGGGCTATTGGAGGAACTCATTGTACCACACACAGGGCAAGCCAGGAAGGGTCTGAGGCAGGGAGCCGCAGGGCTCAGCTCTGGTCTTAGGAAGAGTTAGGACAGCCTAGAGGGAAAGAAGAAAGGGACGATGCAGGGGGACTCCTGAGCAGAGACGGGGGCTTGATAGGAACACCTGCAGTGCAGGACCTGGGCTGTGACGGGTGGTGTACAGCCCATGGCCCAGGCTTCTCCAAAACTCTGGCTTCCAGTGAGGGGCAGGACCAAACAAAGACTGGCCCTCTGTCCTCCCATGGACAACAGGTACCACCAAGTCACAGACAGGCCCAGCTCCTGCTCTCCATCTGTTCAACCTGATGGTGGTGTGACTGTCCTGAACTGCAGAGTGCAGACCTATGGCAGGAGCAAGAGCACAAGCTCCAGGACAGGAATTCGGAGCACACACCTATCGAGGGGGTGGCGTCGGGGAGGGAGGACAGAGCACTGAGGATGCTGTTCTCTCCCCCAGAAAAGCCTGGAAGGTTCCCTCCTCCAGGAATGATCCACGCTGGATCAGAATGGACGGGGCCCCCCACATAGCCACCTTTCTACCCCCAACAGGCAGCTGAACTTCCAGTGAGGACCCGCCAACAGAGAGAAGCCAGACAGCTTGGGGGAAACAAGTCCCCAGGGCCCAGCTAGGCCTGTCCTGCCCCTAAAGGCATTCTCCTCCATGTCTCAGCTCAGACAGCCCAGGGAATGCAAGGAATCCTCTATCCCAGCCCCCTCCTGCCTAGAGAATTCTCCATGCTGGTTTTTCCCTGGAAACATGAGTAGTGAGAGAGGAATGCTGCGGGGCCCTATGGGGCCCTCTCCCCCAGCCCGCATGCCAAACTGACAGATGAGTGGAAAAGATGACAACCATGACCCACCAGGGGACATGGGACAGGCAGGCCTCCCCAGGGCTCCCTTCCAGCCAGGCTAGGCAAGGGCTGGAGAGTTACTATCTAATGGATACAGAGTTGCAGCTTTAAAAGATGGCAATAGTTCCAGGTTGCTAATTAGCTTGCATTAATCTCTCCATAATGTATACAAAAAGCAAAGCATGCTACACTCCGTGAACACACGTACCTTTGTGATTAAAAAAGAATAGTTCTGCAGAGGGATGGTGGCGATGATTGCACTAAATGTCCTGACCTGCACTCTTAAAAATGGTCAACGGGCCAGGCATAGTGGTGCACTGCTTCAGACCCAGCACCCAAGAGGATCTCAAGTCCACAGGCTACCTGGGCTACAAAGTTCTAGGGCAACCTCAACTACACAATAAGACCCTGCCTCAAAAAAACTAAAAAAGGTTAGTGGACTGGGGGTGCAGCTCTGTGGTATAGCAGGTTTATCGTGTGTGAGGCCCCTACAATTACCCAGCACTAAAAAAAAAAGTTACAACTGTAAATTTTATGGTATACGAGTTTTATCACAACTAATTAAAAAATTAAAGATCAATGGACAGTAGTGTAAAGTGGGAAAATAAATGGCCAGGATGAAGAATGTAGTGAGATGACACAGCTCTAGGCGAGAAATCTTCCGCCACACAGGGCTACAAACTGCTCACCTGATCGGCCAGGATGTGCTACCCGCTAAACCTTGACTCTGGCCAGCTTGTCCGTGACTGGACGCCATACTGGGGCTTCCCAGCCCATACTGAAGGCCTCGAGGGTGTCCACGTCCGCATGTGGACTGACTCAAAAAAGACATGTGGCCCACTGACAGCCAGCACCATCGGAGCACATGAGCGAGGCTCTCCCTGGGTATCCCTGACAGTTAGTGACCCCAGCTGAGCCCTGTTCAGACCCACAAATCCCGAGTACGTCCAATGCTGCTTCAAGCTGCCAGGCCGTGGGGATGTTCATAACAGGTCAACAGACGACTGAAAGACAGAGGTCAGCATCCACTGGAGAAATGCGGCCCTGCCCTCTCCAAGGCTCCCCGTCAAGGTTCTTGACCATTTTTAAATCCTGAGACGAGCATGGCGCCAGGTTCTAGTGGCTCACATCTGTAATCTTAGCTACTTGGGAGGCTGAGATCAGAAGGATCACAGTTCAAGGCCAGCACAGGCAAATAATTTGGGAGAGTCCATCTCCAAAATAACTACAGCAAGATGGGCTGGAGGTGTGGCTCAAGCAGTACAGTGACTGCTTTATAAGAGAAGTCCTGAATTCAAACCCCAGTTCTACAACAAATCAAAAAAAGAAGAGCAGTGGGAGGCAAGGGCCTTCTGAGGCTCAGGAGGAGGAGTGCTGGGGCTGTCTACGACCACAACAACTACCAAAGAGGAAGGATCGGCTTCCTCACCTCTCACTCACCCTTTTTTGCCTCTGGAAGCTCTAACACCAGACATCTGACCTCAAGAGACCAGTGGAAAGGTCCACGAGCTTGAAAATAAATGGCTCCCATTGAAAAAGCCATAAAATGGAACCAAGAACCCTGAGCCACAAACTCACTTTCTAGACAAGGACAGAAGTCACACTGGGCAGCTTGGATTAGCCTGATTCCAGCAAGCGTTCTTGGTTCCCGTGGGTGTCACAGGGAACTGGAAAGTGCCTGTGGCCAACTGGTATCAGCAAAGGTGCAACCCAAGCGGCCATTTCTTGTCCAGACCTTTCTGGGCACCTGCTCCCCACACCAGCCCAGACCCAAAGCTATGCCCAGAGCAGCTCCAAGAGCTGCTCCACGTGTCCCAGGAGCAGGACACACCGTTACACCAGGTTAGGAATGGGGAAGCATCGATCCGCAAACAGCTGGTCCAGAAACATCCAACAAGGTAAGTTCTTTTTAAGGTTTTTCAGACAGAATCTTGCTGTGTAGCCCCACACTGGCCTCAAACTCACAATCCTTCTGCCTCAGCCTCCCAACTGCTGGAATTTTACAGCCAGACACCACTTAAGGTAAGTTTTTGGGGGCAGATATTCACATGGGCTTATCTTAGGATGTTCTGACTATTTTGACTGTCGTTTGCCTTCACTGTAGCATCATCAATCCCTGGCTGTTCAGGGAAAGATGAATTGCTCTGGACGGCAGCACCTGAGGCTGCCTGCTCCCGTCATTACAGCACTTACTTACCTACCATCATGGCGGGTCAGGCACCTCGCTGCTGCCCATTCTAGGAGCCCAGAGGAGGGGGCCTTGGGGACCTGGCTGAACACCCATGTTGCTCCCTTCCCACCTACAACAATCACTGTGACCTCAGGAGACAGGTCAGCAGCCGGTCAGCAGCCATTGTTGCTCCAGACTGAGTCCTGACACCCTGGGCTCCCGATCCAACTCCAGCCACCGTCACCACTGCCCGATCCCAGGGAGCCTCAGCTCCCAGTGGAACCTGGGTTCTTCACTAACCTGCAGGCGGAATTTTTAAAATGTAGGGGCATGAAAGTTTGCACCTTTACTTTCAGGGTGTTTAGGACCCTCGTAATGGTGCACTGATGGCTGAGAGAACCGATGTTCACCAAATGACAAATGCCCTTGTCCCTAAAACCACCTCTGACCACTAATGTAAGAACCCCTCGATGCCACAGGCTTCCAGGTCCCAGACCAGCTTACCTCCCTTAGGATCAATGACTGCTGACTAAACGCTGTCAGCGGGAAAGGGACAGCGTCCCTGTCCACTTGGACCCTGGTAAGTTACATCATTCTAGCAACAGTCCCCAGGTGAGGCCTCCCCAGGTCCCTTGGGACACCCTCAGCGCTCTGCCCCACCCTGACCTGCCCTCCTCTCAGCCCCCTGGACACCGTGTCTGCTGGTCAGAAATGGTGGGGACAAGTGAGAAACCACGAAGTAATCTCTGAAATTTCAGCACCAGGAAACCCTGACGTGACCCAAGCTATGCTGTGGTCACACAGCCCTCTCCATCTGCAGCCTGGCCTGCCAGCACACCTCACTGAAAATTCTAGAATTCAGAAAATCCTGCTCTTTCACTTCCTCTTGGGCGAGAGACACCTGCTCCCCAGATGTCTCGCGGCCTGCTGACACCTTTCTCTTCAGCAGTGAGGGAGACTTTGGGTGTGCACTGGTGCTCCCCAGCACCCTGGCGATACTGATGGCCAGGATGAGTGGCTGGGAGCCCAGGGTCAGGGCTCCATGCTGGGTTCTCAGCTTTGCACGTGTCTGTGCACATCAACTGGCCAAAGTCACCTTGATAGAAGCAAGCCTGGAATTAGGAAACCTGACAGCTGAGAATGGTGGCTTAGATGTGGATAAGGAATCACACCCTGGACTGCTGACCTTGTGGAACTTCCTGTGATGAACAGCAGGGTCTTTCTGACAGAAGCCCACACAGTCCCTGGAAAAGGACAGCCCAGTCTGACTATCTCCCCTACCCAATACTTGGAAGAGTTGATGGCACGTGATCTAGTCTTCGGAAGTTAGTGACAAACCAACCCAATTTTCAGGACTCACCACCCTATGTTCGAAACCCCAGTAAAAGCTTGAGGTCTCCCTCCTGGGCCTCCACACCGGGAATGTACAGTCTTGCTCTGTTTTGCTTTCCTTTGCATTAATAACCCTGTGTGTCCGTCCTTGAATTCCTTTTCTGACAAGAACTTTCTGGCCACTGTACCAGATAAACTGAACCTGGTAATGACCTCACCCATGGCTGAAAGTCTGGGTCACAAATGGAGCACCTCCCCAGGTGCTGGTGCTGTGGCACTGAGAAGAGAGAGGCCCCTGACAGGGCTGCCCCCAGCAGGCCAGCCGGAGCTCGACTCAGTGGGCATCACAGGCCCTGACTGACGGTGCTGGCTTTGACCTTCACCAGCACACCACACACAGGTTCCTAACTCCAGGCAATTCTCTCTTTCCCACCAGCGTGGGGGCCACACGCAGCCTTCTACAGCCATCAACTGCTGAAAGAAAAATGTACAGCCACTCAATTATTTCCAAAAGGACAAATAAATCTAATTCTACCCCGACTTACCCTTGTTTCCCAGGAGAATGGAGCAGAGTGCTCATCTTGCCAACTTAGGTCCTGAAATAAAAATTCAAGAATAAGTCTGAAACCCGAACTCAGACAACCGCATGCAGACAGACATCCACCCAGGGCCACAAGGGACCAAAACATAGGAACAAGTCCCACACACCATGAAATGGAGCTCAGCACAGACAGCGCTGACCGCCTCCGCCCCTCCCCCTTGTCAGACAGACTGAGTGACCACGGTCAAGGTTCCGACAGACTCAATCACCCTGGAAGGGAGATGTGGAGAAAGGAACTGGGGCCTGGCTTTGTGCTTGTGGGGGCGGACTCAGCCTCATGAGCCTCAGTTTCCTCATATACACCACTTCGCAGGTGAGAATTAAACAACCTATGAAAAGAATGCAGTTGATGCCAGCACACCTGAGCCCCCTCCTCCCCCACAGGCCCACCAGGGATCCGAAAGGTGCAGGTAAGAGGTGACATAGAAAACTCCGATGTAATGCCAGCACCTGGCTAGAACAGAACTCCGACAGTGTGCAACCTGCACCATACAGAGCCACAAGGAGAGCTACAGAAACATCACTGCGGCTGACCGGGAGCCCGCAGGTCTTGTTCGCTGGCCTGAAGAAAGGACTTGGGGAGCCACCCACCCCCCAACCCTCCTCTGCTTCCAGCAGAGCTCCTGTGACAGTAAAGATCCCACCTGTTCCCAATTGCTATGAAGGACCACAGATTCTGGACCAAAATGTGACACCCACTGAGAGACACCGACTGAAGTAGGATAAAGCATTTAAATTGAGATTTTTGTAACTATATCTCACCCACATGCCCCCCACCATAAAAAACTCCAGGTAATTTATGTCATTCTATGAAGTGCTCAGTAAATTCTATACCTTCCCACCCAGAGGTCAACCCTACCCCACAGCCGGGTGACCCAGCTCTCTCTCCCATGGGCCAAACCAGTTCTGCCAGGACCCCTCTTCAGCTCCTGACAGAGGCGGCTCCACCCCAGCCTGACCTCAAAGTTGGTGTACTGGCACGTGCCAGTCTTCCCCTCCCCAGGAGGTCGAGTCCCCTGCACTGGAGGACAGGCACTCAATGACTGTGCAGTCAGGGTGTAGCATCAGAAGTCCTGCCAACAAAGGGACCAAGTGATGTGTCTTGGTGAGGGCCTAGACACCGCGGTGAGAGAACGACCTTGAGGAGGCCAGGCAAGGCTGCAGTAAGGTGGTGTCCAGTGTGGTTTGGAGCCCAGGTGTGTCAGACACAGGAAAAGCACCCCATCCACACAGCACCCCGTAAACGCCATGGATACGGAGCGGCGCTGACACGAGGAGCGTCAGCACCTGCAGCAACATTTGATGGGGACCCTGGCTCTGGAACTGCTTGCACTGTTGTTTGTTTGTGTTTTGTTTTCTTTTTGTTGTTGTTGTTTTTTTACTCATGGCTATCAGGCAAAATTTCTAAAAATAAAGGGACCAGGGTCACTGCCTTCCCCTTTCCCTTCCCCTTCCCCTTCGGAATTTCTGCTAAGCCCAAGTTACTTCCCATTGTCCAAATTCTGTTCTTCTAAAAATGGCAATGACTGTCTGGAGGTATGTGAGCTAACAACGTCATGCAGAATCCCAGCAAGGGTGGGGACAGCAACAGCTGGGGCCCATCCATGGCTCTGGGCCTCTTGGGGACGGGGACAGTGAGTTATGTAACCCCAAAGTCTCAAAATCCTAGGCTCTCGGGACTGTGCTTTCCTCTTAGAAGCAGTACAGCAGAGGGCTTTGTTTTCAGATGGATGGTGAAGCAGGCAGGTTTAACACGAGTGCTGTTTATTCTAGAGGTGACCTGAGGGACAGGTGGAGGGAACCATCTGAACAATGTACTTTTCCCACCGAGGCCACAAGCCCTGTCCACCTCAGTGGGCAGAGGAAGGGTGCGGTGATTACGGGGCACGTGGGAGGCAGTGAGGACCAAAGCAGGCGGGCCAGCCCCGCGTCCTATGTAACCTGAGCTCCTCTGAAATCAGGTTTTGGCAATGGAAGGTGAGGTCAAGGAGCAAAGGGTGAGCCCAGGACATGTGGAGGCCGAGTCCCCAGTGTTGATTGTCCACACTTGCTACAATTCCACGGGGGTCACACTTGGAAGTCACACCGCCATTTCTCCCCAATTTGGTGTCAAGTCAACAGTCCTTGGTTTGCTGCAGCAAGAAATTAAGTCAAGGGGCAGGACTCCTTGGATTTCTGCATGCTGAGCTCATCAAAAATGATAGAGCACTTAACAAAAATAAACCTGCCAAACAAAAATTGATGGAAGCTTTGATGTCAGTGGTGGCAGCTGCACTCCAGCCCCAGAACATAGCAGCAGGAGTAGGTCCCCAGCTGCCAGGTGTGAACGGCCTCAGAATTTCAAAGTGGCAGCACCCACTCATACCCACACTCGCACACCACAATGTTTCTTCTTTCTTCTACTCACTCAAAGATCAGCTGTGTGGCACAGTTGTACACTGTCCCTCTGGGGCTCCCAGAAGGTCTCTCCACCCACCCCCGCCTCCCAGGTGTCCTGATCAGAAATGGTGGAAGCCACAGAGCACGGCTGTTACTCAGGCCGCAGGATGACGCAGATGGGCCTCATCCTGGCTGAGCGACATCTTCAGAGTCAAGTTCCTCTCCATAAGAGACATCCACACCAGAGAAAACCCCAACGTCTCCGGAGACCATCTCTCTTGTAGAGCACAGCAAAGAGCATGGCTTCCGTCACCCATTCCCAAAGGGAGAAGCAAACAGCAGAGAGGAAGGCACAGAGAATCACAGACTCAGAGCACTCAGCGGCGATGGGGGGTCAGAGCCAACTGGGATCTCTGCTGGTCCTCGCGGCAGCTTGGATGACTACAGAGCCATGCAAAAACTAGCTCTCCCTGACTGTCCCAGGGGTCCTGGGACTGGCTTTCTCTGGAAAATGTTTACCCAATTCTTTCTGTGTACCTCCTGAGGAAAACAGTATTCAGTATGTACACAGTATTATATGATGCGTGTGTACACATACACTCTTGAGCACAGATAGATGTTCACTTATGCTAAGTGAATTGAGCCAGACACGAGAACACTGTAGAATTCCACCCACGTGAAATACCTGGAGGAGGAAAAACCAGACTGAAAGCAGAGTTGCCACAAGCTGGGGGTGGGGCGGGGGAAAGGGCAGTTATTGTTTAATGTGTACAGAGTTATTGGGGTTTTTTTTCTATGTCTTTTTTTTTTTTGTACTTTGTTTTCTTTTCTTTTTTCCTTTTTTTTTTGGTTCATTTATTCACGTGTGCATACATTGTTTGGATCATTTCTCCAGCCTGCTCCCCTCCCCCGCCCCTCCCCCCCTCAGTTCCAGGCACAGAGTTATTGCTTAATAAAACAATACAGAGTCTCGTTCTGAAATAAGTAAAACAGCCAAGCATGGTGGCTCACAACTGCAGTCCCAGTAAGGCTGAGGCATAAGAATTATCAGTTCAAGGCCAGCCTGGGTACATAGCAAGAACCTGTCTCAAAATGAATAAATAAAAACAATTTTTAAACTTGCTGGAAATGACGGGGGAATGGCTGGTACTGGGAATGTACTTAAAACTGACTAAAATGGTAAACTATATGCTATGTACATTTCACCACAATAAAAAGTCATGAAAAAACACAGAGGAAACTTCCGTGCAAATTACTAAGTGAGAGAAGCTGGTCTGAAAAGGCGGCCAACTGTGGGGCTCCCACTCTGCAACACCCTGGGAGAGGCAAAACCATGGAGCCAGAAAAAAGATCTGAGCCTGCTGGGCCGCTGCCACAGGCTGCACCGTGGACAAGCCTTGAATACTGCCCGGTGGCTCTCACCTTGCTCAAGTAAAGACCCCCTGCTCTCACGAAGAGCTAAGGTTTCCCAGGCCAGGTCTTGCCCATCCCCACATGGGGCGGCCTGGGCCTTGGCTCTGCATCAGAATAAGGAGCCAGGGCAAATGAATGGTTTCTTGGAAAACTGCAGAGGGCAGGATGAAAAGCCCAGCAGAGGCTTCTTTGTCTTCCCCAGTGCTGGAAGGTTACAAGGTTACAAACAAGCCACAGGAAGGGCTTGTTTAATTACAATGTTTCAGGAGTACAGAATCTACTGTGCCACCAATCATCAACATGCTTGTCCCAACGTAGGTGTACAGTTTGCTTTCTAAAAGCTAGAATCCTAACTATTAAACTTCCAGAAATAGGTTCTGTTTTCTTGGCAGCTCAGAGCAGTGCCGGGAACCACAAAGGGCTCCCTGGAACCGCCAATGGTCACTATGCTCCTAGGGTTCAGAAAAGTGGTGGCATCCTGGCTCAAGCTGGGAAATGTTGCAGACCAGAGGGAGCAGGAGCCTGCAGGAAAGGCACAGCTGTCATCCACGTAGTGATGTCAGGCGGCTGGGCCTCTGGGTACCTCCAGGTGAGCAGATTGCTGCTGGTGAGCGGTCTGCCCTCACAGACACAAGAGCCTGTCCCATGACACAACTGCAGGCTTCAGTTCCAAGTGACAGCACAGTACCCCTGGCCTGTGCTCACCCAACTCAGGTTGCTTACGGCTGTTCATAGAGAGAGCTTCTGCATAACTTCCTCACACAAAAAATGGGGAAAAGGCCACCATACTTCTTGGGGTTTACAGTTGAAAACTGCATACACACAATGTTCTTAACAGTGATATTACAACTGCCCAAACCAGGGAGCAACCAAAATGTCCTGCTGTAGGAAGATGAAGGAACAAACTGTCCATTCAGACAATGGAGTACTACCCACTACTGAAAAGTGAGCCGTCAGCCATGAAAAGACACAAGGAGTCTTACACACCACTGAGTGCAAGAAGTCAGTCTGAAAAGGCTGCAGACTGTACGTTCCAACTACAGGACATTCTGGAAAAGGTGGAACTAAGGAGACAGTGGACAGGTCTGTGTTTGCTGGGGCTCTTGGGCAGTGAGTTACTCTGCAGGTCGAGTAGGGTGGATCTGGATATCTGTGTCTCAGGGTGCAACACTAACAGCAAACACTACCATCACCTGTGGACTT